TCCGAATTTTACAAAAAAGGGCATATTTCAAACCCAATTTGTAAATAAATTAGTGACCAAAAATTACAATAGTGGATGTTAAAGTAATGGGTAGACCCTTGGCTACAAGTGTGTGCAATTTTTTTTTTTGGATCGGGTCACCCCTTTGGACGCAATACCCCGAAATAGGTGGGCCACTTACTAAACCGTACCCGGGCCACGCACCACCCCTCCGCCGCCCACCCCAAAAACGTAAGGCAAATAATAACTAAACATTTCCCATTTATTCACCATTCGCAAGTGCTTGAATGAAGAATAATAATCATTTTAACAAAAATTTTTCTGATATTTCATACAACGTGCACTGTTTTATAAATACTACGCACTAATAAATATTTAGTGACTCATACACATACGCGCATTTAAACCCAAATAAAATTATAGTTTAAAAAACTAAAACCTCCCTATTATAATTGCCATTCGTACTGTCATCACGTATGTAACTTGAGAATAGAAATCGCTGCATCTTTTAGGCACATCAATATTACATAGTTACATCCCGAGCTAATAAAAGGAAGGTAATAAAAAAAAGGAACAAATACAGTTTGGCTCCAAATCTCAAATTAGAAAAAAATATTGGAATCAATAGAGATGATTGAGCTGAGTATAACGGTATACTTCTTTTTTTAGGGAAACACCAACAACAACAATTACACTGGACCACAAATTTCCACTTTTTCTCTTTACCAGAAACGCCGTTATGAAATTCTTATGTAAAATCACCCCCTGATTCCGAAAATCAAGGTTATTTTTAATTCTATGGTACCGTTTTTGAGATATTTGCAATTTACCGTTTTTGCAACAAAAAAAAAATTGGGTCCACTTTATCATATATATCTCAAGAACGAATTAAGCAATTCCAAGCAATTTTGCTAGGCCCTGTAGATTCAAAGATAACGAACAATCAATACCGATATTTTCAATTTTTTTTGTAAAAATATAAAAAAAATTTTACTTTGCGGGGAAGGATCTCGAAAACCTTTTATTTTTTTGCAGAATTTTTTTTTTCTCCCTAAGCTCTGTTGTATTACAAAAAAATAAGCTATCATCGAAGAAAATCGATGCAAAACTACGTAAGTTATAAGCGATCAAATAAAAATACCCAGGTTGCGCAACTTCAATGTATGTACCTATACATACATACATATATTAAAGGTATAAAGTGCAAGTGAGATATTATCCGGATAAACGAATAACACCATAACAATGATAACACTTTTTCTTTAAATAAATCAAATAGTACTTTTAATACTCGAATTGTATTATAGTAGGTAGAGTGGTTGCATCGAAAGGAAGAGTGGTTGGGTTCGAAACCTGCTGTAGGCATGTAGTTATAAACATGTATTTCCGTCAGTTATGGGTAAGTATGCAGGTAGATTTTCAAAATTATAAGACACAGAAAATTTCTAAAGCCTACATCTAAAACAGGTAGTATTTTCTTTTCCCGGCTTGTTATAAAAAGGAACCTTTCTGTCTAGGTAAGATTTGATTTTTTCAATTTTATTCTTGTTCCGAGTATAAATATGAGTTAATGCGCTTTGAAACTTCATAACATCTTCAAGGCTCGCCGGAGATAGTTCAGTTCATAAGTCTAATTTCAAAACCGTGATTTATTAAAAAAAATAAAATGAGTAAAAGGACGCGAGAATTTGAGTGTAATAAGGATCCAGATATGTTCTGTTTCATGTGTGGCCAATATACTATCATAAGGCGACGACGAGTGTTCTCAGATCATATCAAAACTTTATACTCCAAGTATTTTGGAATTGAGCCTAAAAATGCTGAAAAACCATGGACACCGAACACTTTGTGTACATCGTGTCGAGTAGAATTGATTCAGTGGGAATCAGGACAACAAACAAAATTTGATACACCAATGATATGGAGAGAACCTACTTGCCATTCAATAGAGTGTTATATTTGTCAAACAAAAGTACTTGGCGTTGGAAGATCAAGAGGAGTAACCTATGCTAGCGTACCTACAGTGACATTACCAGTACTACATTCAACGGCAGTTGCGGATCCAGTTCCATTGTCAACAGTAACATCTGAGTGCGGGGGATCAAGTTGTACTGAATTTCGCATGGAAAACGAAAGAAACGTTCTGTCACAAGCACAACTTAATGATTGGATAAGAGATTTGGAACTATCCAAGGAAAAGGCCGAGATCCACACTTCTCGTATGCAACAATTTAAATTTGTGTCATCCGATGTTAAGGTGACATATAGTAGAACTCGTCACGAACCATTTTCCAAACACTATACCAAGAAAGACAGTATATGCTACTGCAACGACATCCCTGGTTTATTCAAAGAGTTTGGTCAAACATATGATTCAAAAGAGTGGCGATTGTTCATAGACGGCAATAAACTGAGTTTGAAGGCTGTATTATTGCATATTGGTAACAAAAAGCCTTCTATCCCGATTGCACATGCAGTAAATACAAAGGAAACCTACGAGGAAATGCAAAAAATACTCAAATTTATCAAATATGAAGAGCATGATTGGAAAATACGTTCTGATCTCAAAGTCGTTGCAATAAGATAAAGGAAGGTATTTTTGTTGGACCACAAATAAGAAAGTTGATCAACAATAATCAATTCAAAGGACTACTCTCATCAGTTGAGGCAGCAGCGTGGGAATCCTTTGAAAAGGTCGTTGCTTCTTTTCTCGGTAGACACAAAAGCCCTAACTACGAGCAGATAGTGAACGACCTAATCAATAATTATGCGAAAATGGGCGTAAATATGTCTTTAAAAATTCACTTTCTCCACTCACATTTGAGCTTTTTTCCGGCAAATCTTGGCGACGAAAGTGATGAACATGGCGAAAGGTTTCATCAGCAAATGAAATTAATTGAGAATCGATATCAAGGATCCTGGGACGTCGCAATGATGGGTGATTACTGCTGGTTTCTCATAAGAGAAACCGATCCTAAACTGAATAAGCGTCAAAGTAGAACACATAATTATTTCGACAACATAGTAAAATCAAATTAAGATAAAGATTGTTAGAATATAGTATAAACATAAATAAATTTAAAAAAAGTTAAAAATATGGGTAATTTCATTCATAAATTGAACTTTTAACTCAATAGAAACAGAGCATAGCTAGATATTTCACTCTTCTTTATACCATACATACGTTTTGAGGTATACGTTGAAATTGCACAACCTGGGTATTTTTATTTGATCGCTTATAACTTACGTAGTTTTGCATCGATTTTCTTCGATGATAGCTTATTTTTTTTGTAATACAACAGAGCTTAGGGAGAAAAAAAAATCTGCAAAAAAATAAATGATTTTCGAGATCCTTCCCCGCAAAGTACAATTTTTTTTATATTTTTACAAAAAAAATTGAAAAAATCGGTAATGATTGTTCGTTATCTTTGAATCTACAGGGCCTAGCAAAAAGTGTTGTATGCACAGTTTATAGAAAATTTTATTACCTTTTTAAAGCTTCAAACCGTTTTGGAATTGCTTAATTCGTTCTTGAGATATATATGATTAAGTGGACCCAATTTTTTTTTTTTTGCAAAAACGGTAAATTGCAAATATCTCAAAAACGGTACCATAAAATTAAAAATAACCTTGATTTTCGGAATCAGGGGGTGATTTTACATACGAATTTCATAACAGCGTCTCTGGTAAATTTTGGCCGTCGACCAGTGTTATCAAAGGTTAAATTTCCAAATAAGCTATTTTTGAAATCGAGATTTCTTAAAAACAAATGGATGGATTTTGAAAATTTTGATTTCATTCAATAAGAAATTCGATTTCCTTTAATTTGGTGTACGTACTTTTATATATTTTGGTTCGTTCTTACAAAAATTGAATTAATGTAAAATAATTATAAAAAAAAAACACCTTTTGCAGAGAACACCTGTCTGCGTAGGCGGCCTTCGGCCGCACTTAGGGATTATAACTCTCACAAAGTAGAATTCTCTTCCTGTGTTGGGAAGAAAAGGCACTGAACACCTTTTGCAGAGAACACAACTTTCTGCGTAGGCGGCCTTCGGCCGCACTTATGGATTATAACCCTCCCAAAGTAGAATACTCTTTCTGTGTTGCGAAGAAAAGGTACTGAACACCTTTCGCAGAGAACACCTTACTTGTAAGCTTTTTTTTAATAATTATTTTACATTAATTCAATTTTCGTAAGAACTATACAACATAAATATAAAGTACGTATACCAAGTCGGCCACTGTGGTGCGCGCTGTCACTCATCAACACCTGGGTTCAAGCCCTGGTGAAAGCAACATCGCAAAAATTATAGAAAAAGGTTTTTTATTAACAGCGGTCGTCCCTCGGCAGGCAATGGCAAACGTCCGATTGTATTTCTGCCATGAAAAACAGCTTCTCATAAAAATACAGGTGCCGTTCGGAGTCGGCGTAAAACTGTAGGTCCCTCCGATTTGTGTGACAACATCAAGGCGCACGCCACAAGTCGGTGGAGAGGCTCGGCCAGACACTAACATATGTGTAAGCGCCAATCTATTATTATTATTACGTATACCAAATTGAAGGGAATCAAATTTTCTATTAAATGAGATAAAAATTTTCAAATCCATTCATTCGTTTTTGAGAAATCTTGAGTTCAAAATTTGCTTATTTTGAACTTTAACCTTTGATAATTCTTGTTGTTGTTGTTTGTCCAAAAAAAGAAGTATACTGTTATAATCAGCTCAATCATCTCTATCGATTCCAATATTTTTTTTTTTTAATTTGAGATTTGGAGCCCAGCTTCATTTTTGCCAATAAAAATGTATTCGTCATTCAAAATTGCTGAAATGATGAATGAAAACTTATTCTTATTTTTTTTTTGTTCAATTATTCATTTACCTGAATACGCCATGCCTGGCGGGTATCTTTTTTCGATACCTTTGAAGTACTTGGTTCAAAAGTATCGATACCCAAATTACTTGGTATCGAACGAAAAGTATCGAGTATGTACCTGTATTTACTCGTATTGTTCCTTCCTAGGTTCGATAACATAATAAAAACATAAACAGTTTTGTAATTTGCATTTTTATGTGTTTCAATGGTAGATATTGAGCAGATATGGTTGGAATTGTCGAGAAACTTACCGGTACTATCTGGAACCGTAAGTATAAGAACAATACTGATTTATTTTTCTCAAATTGAACTATTTCTAGATAGCAATGACTGAGACTGACGATGACTTCTGCAAGGCTTGGGAAGAAGTTAATAAGCTTGGCTTGGAGGTGATCCTCTGTGAAATATTACGCTCAGAGCTTCAGTCTGCAATTCGAGATAAAATAGTACCTGCGTTTTGGTCACATTTTCCAGTTCGAGTAGAAATGAATGAATACGACGTTGATTCGCAATTTCATTTGTTTCACCAGTTCGCCGCGGCAGTTGAAAATTTACAAAAAAGCTTCATATGTTTGGAGTTGGTCTCGCGACGCGTGATAAACTTGTATCCTCAGACAAATCTTAAGACGTGGGATTTTAAAACAGTGTTACTACAAACATTATTGGCACAAATTCCAACTGGATTCAATGAAGCCGTATTTGCATTTTACCAAGTCTCATTCCAAATTTATATCCAACAGCATAATAAGCAAAAAACTGGGCCCTCTGGTAAGTGATATTAAAACAGAGTTTAGATATGGGTAAGTATACGGAAGCCCCAAGAAGTGTGCAGCCTCCCGGGCATACCAAGCAATTTTCCGAGTCGTGGTCTGTCTCTCCGCATGCCGGACACTCATTTGGCACATCTGCATCTAATCTGCTCAGGTATGAGTTTAACCTGCTGCAGTACCTAGAGCGAGATGAAGCTCTGTCTAGTCGATGTCAGGTCGTTGTATGCCAAGAACGGCATTCGCAGATCTGGAGTCTACATAACTAGAGACTGACTCCTTCTGAATGCCGCTCAAGGCCTGTCGATAAGCTGACGGGTCCATAGGTTACTTTATAAACCTCTGGACTTTGTCCGAAAGTTCGTAAATACGCCTTCTGATATGCCGTGGCGAGGGCTCTTCTGCAAGCAATTGTCTGTCGGGTGTCGACGTATGTGGCTTCCTACTAGGAATTGCTTTCAGAGCATTGTGTTGTGCACCTTTATGAAGAGCACTTTCGCCTCGTTGGCGTTAGGCTCCTAGCAGCGAAGAAGCGAAGAGGTCGGAGAGATATCCTTTTACTTTCGAACACAAGTCCTCAGTTCCATTCCCAGACGCCATTATCGAACAATCGTCAGCATAGCAGCCAATCGAGACTCCCTCTGGTGGTTGAGGGAGCTTTGAAATGTAGTAGTAAGTAAAGGACACCACCGTGTGGAATCCCCTGTTTTATTTTTCTAGGTTTGCTCGATTTGTCTATAAACATTACTGTCGACCACTTAGATAATTCGCCAACCAGCGTTTGAGCCTCTGTGGGTGAGAGGACGCCTCCATGTCTTCTAACAGCGTGGAGTGACTGACGGTATCCAACGGCTTTGAATAGTTCTCTCACAGGGACGGTTGCGGTTTAGGCCACGTGCATTCAGCATATTCCGTCTGGTCCCTTGTCTTTGGAGGCTTTCGCCTTGCCGATGACTACCCGAACTTCACCGCTAGTGAAAGCAAGAGAGATGAGTGTTTGTCAGTGGTAAACACTATACGAGACACTTGGTGACGAATATTTTCGATCTCTGACAAAAAGATTACAGAAAGATTATTGAAATCGGTTAACGTAGTCCAGAGTTATGCGGTAACATACATAAAAAAAATCCAACGAATTAACCTTTTCCTTTTTGTCAAGTCGATTAAAAAGGATCAAAGGTCTCTTTCTTTTTTTTCTGGGCTCTGAAGCAATGACTAGGGACCCAATAGTCAGGTTGTTCCTCTTAGTATGTTATCTTCCCACTGCTGTGAGTGATTTTCAGGTGTGTAAAACGTTGCTCCACTGATACACATATGGTAATACCGCTGAGGGCAAGAACCACGCGCAAAATTTTCTGCTATGCTTACGTCTTATTGGTTTCAATTCTCTATTTCTTGTTAACAGCCTTATTCTGCATTACGAACGATAGGCAACAAGAACGATTCGTCTGCAAATGGCAGCATCTCTGATTGCGATTTTATTACTATATCGGTCGTCTTCGTCTTCCTTTTCATATATTACGTTGCAATGGTCTCGGTTGCGTTTAAACCGGCTAGAATGATGCCGCCGGAGTCTAGCCGGATTAAAGTCATTCCCACGACAGCCGGTTCTACGTACCGGAATGACTCGGGGTTTCACCCGACCAAGGGCTGTTGTTTCGGCGATCTAACCCCGTT